GTGGTATAGTCTAACCTATACGAAGTATATTTTTATTGCATAGGATTTTGTATACGGGTGCATAAACTTATTACACCTACCTTTTTCTTTTGAGATTTAGTGAAGGGGCTTTCACTCTCTGCGACACCCGGAGCAGTATGTGATAGCCTGTCTGTGTGACGACGGGAATCGACCACGTTAAAAAAGTGTTGAAAATGACAACTACTTATTATACTTGTGCAGGCGCGGTCTCTACAGATGATCCATCATCTGATGAAGAAGAGAGGTGGTATTAATAATGGCCGCTGCTGTAGTGGGCGGCAGTGGTACAGAGAGATCGGAACGGGGTTTGTTTTTGATGTGAAGATACAAGATAACTACTACTATACATACGATACTTATTAGCGTATACAATACAAAAGGTTCGGGACGTGGGTGTCACGCCCCCCGGGGGTGACGCAAGACCGCATGCGCATTGTTCAAAGGGCTGTATGTCATGGACTATATCTTAATGTTCGGTAGTGCTCGGCCCCGTACAAAGCATCGCATATGTCATGGGAGGGAGGAGGTGGAAAGGGTTGGCCGACGAGAGCAATTCTTATGATAATGTTGTACAACTGTTGGGCAGCTGCAATCTTGACATGGGTACCGTACGCAGTGGGAACAGACATGAGATGGAGGTATTCCGGGACACTTGAGTTGTCCAGGTTGACCAGCTATCTGAATGTTCTCTGAATTGATTCCAGCAGAGATGGAGTCGAAAAAAGTGTTTTGTCCAGAGCCTGGTAAGGGGTTATGGAGGTTGTCGTTGATGCGGTCGATGAGTTGCGTTCTGACCAGTTGGTGCATGTTTGGGGTCGTTGAAACTCGACGAGTAATGCATCTTAGAGGGCATGCTCCATCACCGGTTTCTTGACAATTTGCCAGGATGCTTGGTTGTTGTTGTTCCCATTGTTGGTGTTATTGCCGTTGTTGTTGCCCGCACCACCGCTGTCGCCATAATTGGGCGATGTGCTGTTGCCATTGTTGCATCCTTCACCTTGGCCATGGTGACGAGGTAGTTGAATGTCAAAAGTAGGGGGAGGTTGACCAGTGGCTGCAACAGTTAACTCAGAGAAGACAACGTTGTGACGTGGGGGATGTCGTTGACGAGATGATCCATGTTCAACGAGGCATAGGATATTGTCCCTGCAAGTTGTACGGCTAACGGCAACGTACAACTGACCGTGGCAGAACACCCATCCCCTGAGGTCGAGGCGGACTTATTTTTAAGTGTGTCCCTGAGAATTGTCGATGGTCATAGCGTAACACAATCTGACAGGGAATTGGTAACGGTGAAAGGTAATACCGCGCGCTGCCACTTTGACGTCCAAGCGGATGCGTGGTATATCAACGATGGAAGATTCATCGGATAGAACTTCGGGTTAGGCGGGGCAGGTAACATGTGCGCCCCGACCCTGACGTTGGCAGGCTACTCCCGGCCTCGAAAAAGTGGGTAATAATCCGTTGTAGAATGGAATTTGATGACAGGTAGGCAGCTATGTACGACCCCACGACCAATTTGGTCGATGTTTGTTTTCGTACAATGGATAGATGGATGGATGGATGGATGGATGATGACAAGGATGGATGTGTTCCAACGAGAAGAGAAAGCGGTTCACCACCGCATATCCGCTCATCATCCCAGTTCCATCCGAAGGAGAAGGTATCCGCTCTAATTTCGTCAAACAAATGCGCGCTCCAACAGCAACTGTCGGGATGCTGCAGAACATCCTCCGCGGTGCAGGTGACTGAGGTGTGCCCCTTACCTCTCGTTGGCAGGCTTATCCCATCGTCACATCTATCTCCGACGCGCAGAGCGATTGTTACGAATCTATCTGTGGGAGTGTTTTTTATGCATGAAACTTTGTGCACCCATCACCAGTCAATGCTGTGAAGTTGGTGGTGTATGAATCATCAGTCACAATGAATCCATGGATGGATGTGTTCCGATGACGAAGAAAGAGAGTCATCAGTCATCAAGTGTTGTCAAGTTGTTGATGATGTCTGATGTATCAAAGTATACAATATAACACAACCCCCTGGGTAAGGCGAATGCAAGACCGAGTTGTTTATGCTTTTATGCCGGGCAACCACCCAACCAAGGAAACACAACTAACTTTATTTGTCCCCCACCTTCTTGGCAGTGGTATCAACATCTGCACTCTCATTTTCAACCCGCTGTATAGATGGTCGCCGACAAACATGTATATGCGCGCGTGCGTAAAAGAAGAAAAAAATAACTGTAACCATCAAACGCGGCGGAACAAGCACACTCCGCAGTGCAGGTGACAGAGGAGTGTGCCCCTAACCTCTCGTTGGCAGGCTTATCGCTGACGAATCCCGTTGTAGAATGGAAATGGCAGGTAGGGAACTAAAATAATACACACGTTGGCGTTATTGTACAACAATGGAGGATGCATGAATGGATGGCTGTGTTCCGACGAACAAAAGAAAGCCATCAATCATCAAGTTGTCAAGTGTGCATGCGAAATGCGGCGGAACATGCTCTCGCGTCGGAAGTTGCAGCGGTGTGGCCCGAACCTCTCGTTGGCAGGCCAAATATGTAGCACACAGTCATTCTAGCGTCGAACGTGCTGTGCATTTTGCTGTAGATTGAACGAGGCTTCAATTTGATGGCGGGTAGGCAAAGTTTAGGCACAAATTCGTCGAGATCGGAGAAAATTGGTGCCGGAAGCACCTGCTGCATGCTCGTGTTTCGGGCTTGAGAAGGCCGATCACCGACACAGCCAAACATTAACGCAGGAGGCGCTAATCAAGCTGAAACTTGCTGAGGGCGTCCAAAGTAGTGCAGGACGGCCGATGGTCTGATTTCTCGCGCCTCGGGCGTTCAGGCCAGAAACGTGCGTGGTTCGGAGCTTCGGAGTGAACGTGATCATTCATTCATTCATTCACATTTTATTCTACACCTCTAGAGACCGTAACGGTCTCCTAGAGGAAAACGACAATCACGTGAGTACGCAATTACGCTGCTATTCCCAGTTTTTGCCAGGTTCCGAGGAATTGTGAGTCCTTGCAGACAATTTGCCAGAGAGCGAAGTAGACATGACTTGCCGGTAAGCCGTTTTGGGAATGAACACATTTCTCATTGTTGAACCTCTGTGTTCGCTGTTGGCAACATAGATAGGCAAAAGCAGGAATATCCAAGCGATGACAGTAGTCGACTGTAAGCCGACCATTGTACGGCCATGTCAAAACGCCGTCTACACGCTGACCCACTCATGGAACGGGTTGTTCAATTCGTCTGTCGTAGCACGCCGTAAAGTAGAGACAGACGACACCTACCTCTGCTGCTGTTTACCTACAGTAGATGCTGGTAGATGCTGGCGTTACACGTGAGTGTGTGAAACGTTGTGTGTCTGAGGTAGCACCACGGAGGCGAATGTTTTAACCATGTCCAATCGCTGTGTACATCGTGCTGCTGTTTTTATGTTGTCAAGAATCAGTCGTGCTTGCCAGCATCAGGACATTCATTAGTGCATCGTGCCGCTGTACGTTGTGTACTTTAGTGCATCGTGCCGCTGTATGTTGTGTACTTTAGTGCACCGTGCCGCTGTAGGTTCTGTACTTGTCGCGCACAAAACTTGCCACCACCCCATCACGACCAATTCCAACGGGTGAGCCCCTGCTCGTTACAGCTTGGCCGTGATAACCGACACGGTATGAGGATACATTCGCCATTCAGTAAGCAACGATCTGACTGCCTTCATGCTGATGGCGTTGTATCTGGTTCGTGACGAGATTAAGGATGGAACGTATGCCAAGCCCATTTCATGTTTTGAAGGTCAACTTCTTCCCTGCCAAGATCGTGGAGCACAAAGACACAACCAGAGGAAGAGAAGACCGCCTTCGCACAGACCCTATTCCCTAATCCTATCCCAAACGCAGCTTTTCCGATCGAGTGTTTTATCCACCATGTTGTGCGAAGGCTACTGGGAAGAGAACGCTCCAAGTTCACATTAGAACTGCCCGGTATAGACCATCCTCCCGAGAGCATCTGCCCTGTCATCCATTGCTCTACGTGGTCGTCTCAAGGAAACGTCAAGAATGGACCCTGAACTGATCGTGTCCTTTACTAGACGAACCAGCCCTCCGGATGCGCGCAGCAAGGTGGCGCACTCTCCGTCTGGTCCTCCTGCGCCTCCCATCGCGCATGAGAGTGGGGTTGCCCCGCTCATCTGCAAAATAGCGACGGACGGGGGGGAAAGGTGTATTTTTGAAAGTACGGAAGGTCCATCAAAGTCATAAAGGTTTCGTAAAACATACGGTAGTAGTATTGTGAGTCGTCGAGCATGCTAAACCGCTATGAGATTGCCATCAAAGAATTTTCGTGTCTGATGCTAGAGGCGCCGCAAGCACCCATGTTGAACTTGGTGTCGGATTTAGCACAGCATGCCTTGAGAGATTTGATGCCCCCGGCTGAGGACGGAAGCAGAATGGAACTCCCAGCACTGCATTGGTCATCGTTTGGCGTCGGTAGAGCGTACCCAACGGTAGGGGATAGATATTGTATCTGCTTCAGTCACACACCCCTCAGCGTAGCCTCTTTTAGCCTCGGTAGAGCGTACCCAACGGTGGGGGATGGATATTGTATCTGCTTCAGTCACACCCCCCTCAGCGTAGCCTCTCTTAGCCTCGAAGCGGACAAAGCTACTCTCCTCCCTCTACCTCGACGATGATTGAAATTTCACCAATCTCCCTCACATTCGTGCAATTGACGTCGACCTTCATATTAAGCAGAACCCTTATGGTATTTGGGTCGTTTCTCATGGCCGCTACGTGAAGGGCCGTGAAACCTGACCCCTGAGAATGCGAACGGGACCGGCGAATTAGGTGCAGCAGAAACGGGTGGCGGATATCAGGGAAAATGGGACCACAACTACGGCACTACTACTGAGGAAGGGGAACGATACAGCTAAGGTCTGTGAAAACAGCACCATATCTTCGCTTCGCGACAGGTGATCGGAGCATGGGATATTCTCGCCACACCCACAATCGAGAACATACTCAACCGTTTCAGAGAGCACCATGCCCAACGTTCAAGCCTGGTGCACGGAACCCCCCACGAGCTATGCAAAGTGCAGGGGATGGCCAACCGAGGGATCATTCTAGTGTGGCGTCGAGTATGAGGGCCAGAACGACAAACACGGAGAGCACGCCACGATATACAGCTGGCGCCCGCTATTAAGAAGCAAACCTTCAAAAAAGGAAGGCTCAGACTTTGGCGAAAAACAAGAAAAATCGACTCACAAGCATACGTCAGCCACGGATCCTACACCTAACGCTAAAAGACCTATGCTCGACGGCGGTGATGAAATATGACAATGAGCCTCGACCCCAAATTGACGTTTCTAACGCGAACGCTGCAGTAGCTATACAGTAGGGAACACGCACGTGCTTGCCCTCGATCGGGCAGCCCTGCGCGAAGAGCTCCTCCACGCACCAAGCGCGACCAGCAGCCGCAGCGGCGAGAACTCGGTCCTCGGGAGGCAAGACAGCCAGACGCCGAAGCTCCCGCTCGTTCTCAAACAGCTTCAGCAGCGATTCGAAAGGCAGACGTCAACCAGTCGGCTAGAATGGTGTAGGCGGTGGTTTGATCGGCAATTTCGTGGCACGCTTGTTCGTGTCTACATGCGGCCAGATTGACTACCTCAACATGTTGACAGAGAGACGGCTGGTATGACACCGAAGCGTTGATATTGCCTGTGATGTAAAAAAAAGGGCTCGTACGAAGGCCATACCTCGTAGCTCATGGGAAGAGGATGCGGAAAGATCGGTGTCCACCGTAAGTAGAGCTGGGGATCTCGTACCAGGTGGCCGTCATTCTCGTGCTGAGACAGGCAGCCATCACGAGCGATTAGTTTCTGGACATCAACCTGGGCTCGACATTTATTTTCGGAAGAAGGGACAGAAGTGTTACGTCAACGAGGGCAGGGTGGGGGTGTTATGGCTAATGCTTCGTCGTACTTCAATACGGCACAACATATATCCTAGAGGGTCTTAAAAACAAGCAGGCGACAGGGTCAAATACGAGCACGCCAGGTTTTCACCAAGTATATTGGTACCCTACCCAAACATCCGCCATGCATGAGTTGAGTGAAGGGTGGGTCATTCGTTGTGCGAACCGCGCTAGGAAGTCTTCCAGTCTCTCCACAGTTCGTGGGACACGTATTGTGAGCACTTTCACGTAAAAGCAAGCGAATCATTCCGAAAACGTTGTTCAACCCCATGTTCTGGCAACCGTATTGGTATGCACGATCCAATCCCCCAAACTTGTCAGACTTGCGTTTTGGCGGGGGTTCGAAGTTTCAAGGCTAGCGAAGCATGAGACACCTGAGGGTACAGTAGTGACGTTCTCATGGTATCACGTTAGGAGAGGACCCTAGCCAGAGGTACGTGGCTGGTCGTAGATGGGTGAAAACATGTTACGTTAGCGACACACGACGCCGCGTTGTGGGGCACGGGCAACAGGGTCGGGGTCTGCATTCCCTGTAGGCAACTCTAACGTTGCCGCGGTTAATCTTCGAACATTGTCAATACCGACTTTTGCACCATTCTCCTCCATTCTTGGCAAACTGCGGTTCTAAGAGCTGGCGGAAGTGAAGATACTCGCACAAAAGAAGAGGGCATGGCTCGTGAAAGAGTTTGGCAAAGAGCAAAATACTGTAGGCAAGGGCTGAGTTGCACCCCTCCCGTCTCAACGTACCCAGGTTTGGACGAAAGATAGAGAATCCCTGTTGTGCTACCCTTGGGCATGTGCGCCAAGTTTCCGCCGAACGGTGCAAACATGGTGCCAAGAACAGCTGGGACAGGAGAAAAAGTCGTGACTGTTGGAACAGCAAAGTTTGTAGACTTCAGCAGTCTCCCACAGTTGTAAGACTCTAGGCTGTTGGATTGCGGGTGAACAATGAGGAAAGATACACCAGCCCGCTGAACAAGCTCCCGGTCCACCTTCGAGCTCTGCCTAAGCTGTAGGGCTTTCTCTCTCTTCGCGGTCAGTTCTCGCCGCCTCGTAGAGTCGGCTAGTGCTTTCTGGAAGGGCGTTAGGGTGGCCTCGATAATTGCTGCTTGGTTGGGTTGTCGTAGGCCAACTTCGATCGCAGTCCGTGTATCATTTTTTCCTGCAGGGAGGGGCATTTCCTCCGCGGGCGTACTCTTCTCGTGGATAGATTTGAGCACTCGAACACCGGCCACTCCTTGTTCTCCCGGGTCGCATTACGGGGCTACAAACTACGGGAGCCTCGTGCTCTCACGTATGTGTATGCTGTAGTGTGCAGAAAAGAGTACTTGCGGTGGGTTTTGGGGAGGACGTGCCGAAAAGGTACGTATTCCGCCGCACCAAACCGGGAAATTATAACGCGACGACGCGACCATCCGTCTACAAATGGTATGCCTATGTGGGCACAGCTGCTAGTCAATATGTCCATACCCTTGGCCATAACCACGCTATTTCGCTTATGCCCCACGAATCCCTTGGGTGATATCCTTCTGTGGGGGTGTCAACGCCTCTTCTCCAAAGTGTGGAAGTTCAAGCTTGTGAGTTTCCAATCAAACGTGTTCAAGACTACTACTGTAGACAAATGCCGCGCCCAATAACAGCACAAACTCATATCATCACACACTCTGCATCGCGTGTTCACCAACACAATGCGAAGGCCAAGTATCAGGTGATCACTACGCTGTTGGGGGAGTTGCAAACCTACTTGGAGAAGTCGCCATGGGTGGCCTCTAACCGATCTTTGTTGTCCACGAAAAAGACGGCAGTTCATTTTCTTTTATCAAGGACATGCAAGAGTTGTTACCACGTGAGGTTGCCGAGGGATTCCAATTAAAAACCGATTAGGGACTCGTTTCCGCGCAGTTGGCCGTTGGAATACAACAACAGCATTAAAAGCTGCCAAGGTTCTATGCGCCAAACTTGCAACAAGGGCGCATTGCAGCAGCCACACTCCATCTAGACTACATGTGCAACACAAAATGCGCAGTGTCAAGAACGGCGACCGAATTCCAGTGTGGTTGAAGATAAGAAGCAGAAGATCGTTCAACTCTAACCAAGGCGTTTCGAGGAGACCTTAAACCGTGAGGGAATCTGGAGAATCAAAACAAGGGTGAAAATACGGATTAGATACGGCTAACGATTGGTATCGGCCGCAACAGAAACGGACTCCCAAAAAGGAGCTTCTGAACAGTGCGGATGACTCGCCAACCTCGCCGAGCATTGTGTGGTATGACGTGCCACGGTATCGTAGTATTACGTCGGAAGGGAACGAAGTGAGAGCAAATCTCGGGATTTAACAGCAATGAATATGCTTCGCACACACACGGATCGTCGTACCACCCGAAACCCTCTCCCGGTCTAAATTAGGTTTGAATTGGCGTTTCGTTCCGAGGATCTCTGCCACACCTGGTGAGGAATACACAAGTCGTCTGTCACGATGCTCCATCAAGACAACGCCCCTCCTGACTGGCAATCGTGCAACTTGAAAAGCGAATACCACTGTAGCGAAAGGGTCACTTTCCTCGTGCCTGCGCGGCCACTCATGGTTGTGCTCTCCACCCACCCACCCACCCACCCGTGTGCACGGCCCACGTACTCGAGGAAACTACCGAAGCAGCAGCAGGAACTCTCCACTCCGCCTCTCCCACAGGAGTTCCATCAACACATGAGTGTAAAGGTCTCTTGCGCCCCTGTGTAATATCGGTAATTATTATATTCGTCGCATCCCGGGGATATTTGTTCTAGATTGTAACAACGCACACCCCGTCAATCGAGCTGGATCTCGTTCGGATCATCCCTGGCAGCATCGAGATCGATCTCGTACTTGTCGTCCTGCACCGCCGCCGCCCCCTCCTCGTCGCCCCCTCCGTTTCCTTCTCCATGTCCTGAGCCCCCTCCCCCGCCGCCGCCGCCGCCGAATCTCGATTGGAACCCCGGACATGGCACGGTGACGACGTGGTCTAGGCCGAGCATAGCGAGAAACTCGTCTGTCTGAGGGTTGGGCAGGAGGGACTGGGGCGGCTTCGAGGATTTCTATGACAAACCAAGACGCACAAAGAGACGAGGAAAACGAAAGAGGCGAGCGACAGGCAGACAAACAAAAAGAGGGAAAGAAAAGTGGGACAGCAGCAGCAGCAGCAGCAGCAGCAGCAGCAGCAGCAGCAGCAGCAGCAGAAAAGAGCAGCAGAAGGGAGCATCAGCAGGGAAAATTCGATCGGGGCAGCCGAGGACAGCACGTGTCCATGAGGAGTTGGTTTCACTTGATGACGACTTCCCTAATGGCCAGCCTCGACGCCCGTGGTTCTCATCTCCGCAACCTCCACGTGTCCATGAAGGGTTATCAGTACGGCCGCAATTGAGAGGACGTCTGGACGACCCTGCGGTGTAGGTGGTGAACGCCACCATCCGAAGATCCTTCGTGGCCACCGATCGTTTCGCTTGGCGGTGGGAAGGGTCGAGGCAATCTGACAGAGCGAAGATCAAACACCTGGTTGCTCACCTGTCCTTGACACTCCATTTGTGACGGCGGAGGTGCGGTCATTGCGAAGTTTTCAGGGATCACCTGAAAGCCCCCAAGTGAAAAACGGCAGACAACGAACGGACGGAAAGACAAAAAAATTAGGGCTTTGCCTAAGCGTAGCGGCCAGCAAACCGACCGCGGCAAAACGAAAGGCCAACAGGAAACTACAAAAACCACCACCACCACCACAACAACAACAACAACGACGACGACCACGACTTGAGCAAGGACAGACGGTACCACCGGAACAAGAACAAACCGTTTCCCTAGACAAGAAACGCAAGGCAAGGACGACATGAGCACCCCCTTCCCTCACCAGGGGACCGCCAGGCAGTCCGCGCGCCGCCAGAGCTTCTCGGATAGAGGCCATCTGCTCCACCTGCACTCGCGGAGTCTCGAAAGGCATGTCCACCTTATACGTGCGGCCGTGTAGAGGGCGGGGGGGCATTGAGGCGGAGCCGAGGTAAGGCGGTATCCCAGGGGTTGAGAGGGAAGGAGGGAGAGATAAGCAAAACCTCACGCAAAAAAAAAAGAGGAAGAAAATGAACGAAGCGACACAGATGCAAACAAATAAAGCGGAAACATATGCATAGGGCAGCATGGACCGGGGGAAACAGGGCAAAGGTCGGAGAATAAGAGCTACAAATGTAGCTACTTTGTGCTGAGGGATGCGAAAAGTGCGGCAAGTGCCGGAACGCAGATGTTTCAGACATAGGAGGGGTGCGCACGTACAACTTGATAGACATAGGACCCTCAACACGGTCCGACAGCAGGGACAACAACACTTCCAAGTGTTCCATCTGCTTCCTAACCAAGTTAGCAAGCCCACGACGCGGACACTAACTCACCGTGCGGTACTCTATGGGCTACTTACTCCTCGCATCATATCTACCACCACCACCACCACCACCACCACCACCACAAGAAGACCGGACCAACAAAAAAAAGCGTCGGCAACAACATACACCCGACACCACTAGCTAGACACCAACCACTCTCACGAGCATCCCATCACAACGTATCGCCAACCTCCGCACAGCATCCCTCAACCGCACAAAAACAAAAGGTGTTGTCCGTACATGCCCTCGTGAGTTGGACAGCAGGTAGTGCGACTCCTGCACGATGCTCAGCCACTCCACGTCGTACTCGAGCAGCACCTCGTCCCCCTCCCCGCCGCCGGCTGCCCCCGGCCCCTGCTCCTGCCCCTCCGGTCGCGGTACCGACACGAGCTGGAGGAAATCCCTGCACACAGGAGGCGGACAAAAAAACATCGAAATGAAACGCCATCACCTTCAAGCTTCCAAGAAAACACAGCAACCAGGATCCTTGTTATCGCGGCATGGCTGATGCCTCAAACAGAACACCAGCGGTTCATGCTGGGAAAAACACGTGTCCATCGCAACCAGGGTCGTTTCTTATCGCGCTTGGCTGAGCTGGGCTGGAATGGCGTCCGATTTTTCGACTCGATCAGCGCAGAAGTTCAGTCCCCTATCTATGCCTTCCGCGCAGCCCCCTGAAATATAGCGTAGCAGATAAAGCAGCCGGACAGGGCTTCCGCACCAACATTAGAAGACGGAACAGAGAGATGACGCCTGCCTTGCGTTTTCGCTATCCCTGCCGTTGAGTGGTTGGTCGGATCAAGTTTTCATCCGACGTTTTTTTTTCGGGTTGTTGGATACCACCATACATACTATGCCTGTTGTAATGCATTTCTCACAACAAATAGGAGGAAGCAATCGCATGTTTCGTGCAGAGCGATTGGCAAACTAACCTACACCTACATTCATGACTCCCTTCCAACATGAACCAATGGATGTCGGGACAAAGCTGAACGTCAAACGTCAAAATTAGCACTGGAGACATGGCCTTCGAGAACGTAGACACGACGGTTTAGGAAGGTATCTGCGCGGCTGACGTGTACGTGTGACTCTCTCTCTCTCTCTTCTCTCTCTCCTTCTCCCTCTCTCCCTACCTCAAAACTCGGGCAAAAAACACGACAACCGAAATGAAAAAACGGGTGGGGGCGAAGGGTCAAGCCTTCACCCAATAACCGCCGCCGCCGGGGTGCCTCTTACCTATGTGGAAGGCACTTGTCGAGCGAGAGGAACCGCGTGACTCCCTTCACCTCAGAGCCTTCCCGACCCTGCCCTTCCCTGGGAGACCCGTGCCTTGTTGCCGTTGTTGTCGTCGCCGATATCGTCGTTGTTGTCGTTGTCGTTGTTGTCGTTGTCGTTGTTGTTATTGGTTGTTGGCACGTTGTTCGTGAGAGAGAGAAACATACGGAAGAGGGAAGGAGGGAGGCCGGAGACAACGGGAGGAGACAGCGACGGCATTAGTGGGTTCTACTAGCGAAAAATACCCGGACGTGCGCGAAGCACGGAGGATCAAGGGCAGCGGCACTAGCAAACATGCAAGATCCCGTCCATGGTGGCGCCTAACGGGAGCAGCTTCTGTTGTTGCAGAGTTTTCTCCGGCTTGGAAATAATCCGGATCGAGAAAATGCTTTTCCTTTTGTTCTTTCGTGACCACCGGAGAGGAGCAGCAACAAAAGGTGTCGACGGTCGAGCGGAGATGTTACAATGGCGAGGACATCTACTACGTCGCGATGGGAAGGGCGGACAGCGGCGAGACTGGCTCTGGTGCATGGCAGCATACCGCCTGAAGACACTAGATAGATAGGAGCAACCAACCTTTGTCACACGCGAAGGACGACAGTAAACGGCCAAAAAAGTATGCCGCCCGGAAACACTGTGACAGGAGTGACCCAGCCAGTCTTATTATCACATGAGAAGAACGACCTTCTCTCGAGTAGTCAAAAGAGTGATGCTGCGAGGGCGGGCTCTTGTCGGCAGGGACGCTAGCGCGGGACAAGTGAACCTACGGCTTCCTCGCCCACGGTCACCGGGCACCCAAGCACCCATAAGTATGCCTCGACTGCCACGAAGTTAAAACAAGCAGGAGGAACAAACAAGAGACCATCACAAGCAAGACCCGACTATGTCTACTATGTACGCCGTACGCAATGACTCGGCTCGCTTGAGCAGCAACGCCACACCTCACGACGGCCGGAAACTTGACGTGCAGGTGGGCGGCGAACCAGTAGTCCGGCTGGACCTTGTGCAGTAACTGCTCCGCGGCGGCGCTGCCCAACGTGTTGTCCTCCACCTGCCGCCCCCATGTCCCGGAGGGAGGGTCGATGTGGTGACGTCATCACCATAATCACGACAAAAAAAAAAACAGAGGGGGGCAGTTGTCAGGTCTACGCGATAAACAAAAAAAATGAGGGGGGCAGTTGTCAGGCCTCCCGTTGTACAGCTGTTGGGGTGCCCCACACACAAGACACCCAAAACCTCGCTCCCGGAGAAAGGGGCCCCGCAGTGTGGAGCGACGCAATGAAGGGGGGCTACCCTGGTACGCTTTGGAGATATTTACTTGTGTGAGCATAGGCGGATTATTGCTTGGTTTGACATGCACGCCCCGCTCATGGGGCACTTGACCCCGGGGGGTCATCCCGACGGGGTCATCCAGTGTCGTGGCTGGTGGTGGTGTCTTGGCGTTAAAAAACGTTCCGTTTTCTGCGTACGATAGTACCTTCCCGGCATCTGCACCGGTCTAACTGAAGCGGACGCATTCCGTGGTCATAGGCCCACTTTGCCCCCCCGAAAAGGGTGCAAACTTCCCCTAGACACCAAGGCAAAAAAAAAAAAAAACTCGAGACAAGCATCACCACAAGGTGTAGGAAAATCGCATGCCTTGGCGTACGTAACACCACAAAAAAGCGTCTGTGAAACACCGCACGCGTTGCACAGTAGGTGAAGAAGCAAAGAGATGGCACACCAAACGCATGCAAGCAAGCATACCTCGGCCTTGAAGAACGGTTTCTTCCTGAACAGATACCTGGCGTCCCCGTAGCGCACGATGCCCCTCGGCCAATCGTGAGACAGAACCAGGTCCACGTGTCCGGTGAGCTTCGGGAGGAAAGAACAACAAAAGACGGAACAAGGAATCGGACGCGCAAGAGTAGAGAGAACGGAAGACGAACCGGGACACAAAAGTTAAGAAAACAACACTGTTTCGCGCGACCGCTGTTTAGCACGTATCGTACATAGCTCCCTCAGTGAGACTACCTGAAAACAACCAATCATGCAAGAGAAAACAACAAGGTCGTTTCCTCAAGAACAAAAGCGCGTGCGTATAGTAGTCCTGATGCCCCGCATGGCTATGGCAATGGAAAAATCTGAAAGCCGGAGGTGGCGATGGAGGGAAGGAAGGGGACAGGAAGCATGTGCGCTATGAAGCAAAGCAACACGTGCACCACGCCTCCGGTCCCGGCAACACCACGGCAGAAAAAAAAACAGGGCGAAACGAAGAAGGGAACCATCATACTTTTCGCATACAAAAGAAGCAGAATCAACCGTGTCGAACAAGACAAGATCAAGAAACGGCAGGGGGGAAAAAAAACACATCAACAACAACAACAACAACAACAACAACAACAAAGAGCCGGCCGTCCGACCTGCATGTCGCAACACCACCAATGGACCGATCCCTCTCCAACGCACAACACGTATGCATACCCCGACGCACCTGCGCCAGTTTGAAGACCTCGAGCTCCCGGACGTAGTAAACCGACCGCAGGGTGTCCCTGTTGTACGGAGGCCTCTCGTGCCGGCCTTCCTTGTAGCTCCTGGAGTTTGGGGTGGGGACAAGGCAACGCCAGGGGTTGAAAAAGAAAATGGGGAGCTTTTGGGGACAAAAAATAACAAAGTCCCTCTCTGCTGGGAGTGGGCGACAGGGACGAGAGCATCGAACCCACAAATTTATTGGCCGGCGAAAAACAGAAGAAAAACATTGTATGGAACTTACAAAAAAAAAGCATGGCAACACTTGCGCACGCGCGGCACTATTGTGAACTCCGTGTTGGAGTGTGCAACAAATACAATTTTCCTTTTTTCTTATTCGTGTAGAAAGGCTACACGATAGACAGTTGCCCTGGTAAACCAGAATTTTCTATAGATGACACGTACATCTATGAGAGAGCAGTATGCATGTACGATATAACGCACCAGAAGTCTTGACCAATATTTTTCCAGACACTGTTCCAGGAGCATGTGGCGCCGTCCAAGTTATTATTTAGAGTTTGTCGCACCCAAAAGAAAAAGAAAAAATGATCCAGATGTACATACAAAAAGACGGTAAGGGTAGGGAGGACGACAACCGACGAAACACAAGCCACCTGTGCCAGCCCCTACATTGACCGAACTCTACTTCTGGTGGCCCCTTGGTCCTCCCCCCCCTTCGACGACTTGCCTCCCGTTGAAGATCCCGGTCATGCCGGCTATCCTTACCCCTCCCACCCTGACCACCCCCGCGAACCCAAGGAAATAGATGTTGGGCGCTACCCATCCCCCGTAGTGGAGTTCCTGTTACATGGTACATGGTAGGTGCAGCACAATTGGTTAGAGAGAGGGGGGAAGGGTCAAAGAGCTCGTGCAGGTCTCAAAGGAGGGGGGGGAGGGATTTCCTCAACAAGCGTCAGGCGGGAGGGGGGGCAACGGCGTTTCGAATGTACTCGAGGAAGGGGAGGGAGTATCGTCAGCTCTCTCTCTCTCTCTCTCTCTCTCTCCCTCTCTCTTTCTCTCCCTCTCTCTGGTTAGAGGCAATATTATAGCAGAGACTCGTAAACTCGTTGAACACCGTCGACACGATGTCGTTTGTGCAGAGGGGGCACGGAGAACGAGCTTTGGAAGAAAAACGCAATGGTGGTATTGAGGAAGTGCCGGGGCGAGCACACGCACCAGAGCATCAGCCATTCCTGAAATTGCAGCGATATACAGACACCAGCAGCAGCAGCTTATCATCGCGTTTGACCGCGTTTGACATCTTGACCGCACTCACTAGCTGACCAACGGCATCCATGGCGCCAGTCGTGAAAGCGTTGGGCTAAAGACCACCATCCCCACACACCAAAGACCGACACCCCGGGGAACGGCAACGGAACCATCGCCCCCGCCGCCACCCAACAACCGCTACGGAAACCGTAGAGAGATAACCCCCCCCGCAACACGATTGAACAAAACTGATGTACACAGATTTGTAATTATTTTCTTTTTGATTCGTTGAAGTTCGCTGGGCTCTTCGAGCCAAAAACAAGTCAGCTGTGTCAGTTGTGAAATGTCACTGATGGCAGCTGGCAGCTGATTTCACACCAACGCATGCGTTACGCTTTCATCTTGCATACCGCCTTGACGGCACCACTACCATGCTCTGATGAGCCCACTCCGGGGGCGATCCTTGTGCATACCTGCAAGTAAGAGGAGGCCTCGTGGTTGCCTCCGATGAAGATCGTCAGCACTGGGGCAACGAGCTCCCCGCTGTAGTACTTGTGGAACGTTCCCTGACAGGCAGGCAGCGGAATATCATACAATACACACGGGTTGGTTAACGTGATGATAACGGGAAAAAAAAACGACACCATCTTGTCGTCGGGTACTTACTTTGCTGGCACACATGCATGCACACGACCACCAGGATGCATTCCTTGAGACCGTCGGCTTCCCTTCCTCAAGCACAGAGTGCCCCTCCCCTACCCTTCAATCGAAGTCACGGTTGGAGGAAGGCCTGGCACGATGCTCGGATGCAGCCAACTACGTGAATTGTATCCAGCGTGCCACCAGATAAAGAAATTTGTTCGGCGGGGTCGAGTAAGTGCAGCTAACCTTCGGCTGTGTGGGGCAACTTCAGTGCCACACACACGCCGCCGTGTTGAACGAAAAAAAAAAAAAAACAGCACCCAAGGTCGTGGAACCTCCCCTATCAGCGAGAAATTTACATCGCTGTCGGTGACGGTGTCGATAGTCTCGATGTTGTCCCCATGCTCTGATTCTAAACGATGGAAACATAAATAGGCTCCGTCAACACGTTTTTCGAGTGAACCGTCGGGGGGTCCCGAGGACAAAAAGCTCGAGTCATTTCCAGCAACCATTTCAACCGCGGACAGCCCCGTGAATAATTGAAAATGAAACGCCCGTACATATTTTAAACCCTGCACCGACCCGGCGGCGTGAGATTCACAGAGGTAGGCTCTCCGAGAAAATCTACATACCATGGTGGAAGGGCATGTGTTGCAGTGAACGGGAAGAGAGAACCGGCTGGACTGTTGCTTTTGTCGTAACGCTAACACCCGTTCCGATCTATGTACAGTACCTCCATCTGTCCGTATTGATCAAACACTAGACCGATCGATTCCCGTGGTCACATGCTAACTTGCCTCAAAAAAGGTAAACTCAAATAAAATGGAAACCGAAGGGTCCGCAAGCCAATCTGAATCAACGATTGCTAGTCTGGGGCCCTCCGCTCCTGGGCTCATTTAGAGTCTTTGAAAAGACTCAAGTCAAGTCAAGTCAAGTCAAGTCAAGTCAAGTCAGGAGCCAGCAGGTGCTATCCGAACCGTGCTTTTCTCTCTTGTTTTTAGTTCTGACCCTGACTCTGACTCACCAGGTGCTTGTACTTGTCTGGGCAGGCGAGGCCGTCGAAGTCTTGCGTATTCCGCAGGCACTGGAAGTCTCCGCAGCAGATGAGCAGGTCCACCTTGATGCCCTTGATCTGTTCACCCACCCCGTTTCAGCGTACCGTGAAAGCATGAAGCACGTTGGTTCAAGTTGGCCTGAAATTCTAAAAAAAACAGCGACTTGTGTTTGCACTTACGGTAGAGCGAAAAAATCGCCACAAGAAAGACGCGTTGCCTCTGTCGTTCATGTTCGAATTCTCGCCCGTTACTCCGAGCGTTTTCTACACCACACGTTTTCCGGCTCGCTCTTTTGGTTCCTTGTTTTCGTTGCTGACCTCGAGAACAAATCGACTTATGAATGCAGAGCAAGGGTGTACCTGGAAGATGTCATCCTGCACAACGTTTATGGTACCCACCCCCCTTGCTCCCGGAGGGTCGGAAAAAAAATGAAGTCATTTTGCTCTTCGTGGGTTACAGAGCCAGCAAGCAAGACGCATACCAAATGAGGGGCACATGGTGTGCTACTACAGCAGTACTACTGACGAGGTTTCACGCCCACTTTGCTACGAACGTACCCGTTGTGCCGTCATTGCGTGCAAGTTCGCAAGAGAGGATTATAGCTCCCGCGTAGAGGTAGCTCCCGCATGGGGGCACCTGCACCGAAACCTGTTTCCCCCCGCAGGGCCTCTTGCTTAATATGTGGAGTAGCACTCAGACTGCCGGTACCCCCGAAAGTGTACCAAGTACCAAATAGTTGGTACCAAGTACTGTAGGGGTGGATGTTTTTCCGAGTTCACTCGAGTAGGGCATACAAAAGCGCTTTGGAAGGCCGTTCATTTTTTATTTTTTTCTAGATACTCCTACAGCAGTATATGCATATGTTTGCACTTTGTCCTTCATTCTGGTTACCACAAAGTCAGACGCCTGCTTTGTCGTCTGCCTCACTTCCGGTGTCCAAACGCCATGTGCGGCAGGTGGTGTGTGCTACTGTACACCAATTGCGTGTGTTGCGTGCGATTCGAAACATGTGCATCCCACCCCCGGTGTGAACGGGCGCAGCTACAAGAAAAACGAAAAACGAGCCGGTGTTTCCGTTGGGATCAGGCTTCAGGCCGGAGGGGTACACTAGAAGGAAGGCTGAATAGCTCGGTCACCGGAAGCAACAGCAACAGCATTCCTCACTCCGGAATACACAAAATACAAAGAGAGCAACACTGTTCCATCTACTGAAGTACTGCAGCGGTACATGTCACCCTGTCGTTGTAATGCAGCCACGGCGGTACAGCTACAAACGTTTATCGGAGACTAATAACCGTGTTTCGCGGTACGGCCGCGGCCGCAGTCGCAAGCAAACGCAGCCCGAGGGAGACAAGCCAGGACTACAGCAGTACACAGCAGATGTAGGCCTTATGGCCTTATGGAGCTTAGTGGCGTGTTTCGTTTTAACCCTTTGGGGCTAGGCTGGACTGTCAGATTTTGTTTTTTGCGCCAAAAAAAAAAATATATATATATATATATATGAGAGCGAGAGCGAGCGGAGAGAAGTGTAGAGAAAGACACCAGCGTACTTCTGCACACGCAACAGCTATCTCAACCTGTAGGCCATGAGGGAAGCCGGCGACAGGGTGGTGGCCACAGACAGGGTCGTAGAAGGGTTGGTGGGTGGTCGCGCTGCGGTCAGTAGGGCAGGTTAGCTGTGTAGACTTTGAAATGATCAGTTGCCTAGCTGCCTCAACTAGTATATTTTCGGTATATTGCAAATTAGTCCAGAGAGGGCAAAATGATCAGTGAATACCCATAGCTGGTATTTGTACTTCTGTATTTCTCTGTTCTCTGACCCCCCCGAAATGTGCCCTGCCAGCTCTCTAGAGCTCCTGTGTTTTTCAAACAACAAGCACATCCACCAGCACACACCTGTACCTCGTGGTTTCCTAGGTTCGGGCGAGGGTATGTGTGGCGCGACGAGTGTGGATGTGTTGCTGGTATGTGTTACTCGTCTACAGCAGTAGAAGTAGTGTTGTTGTAGCGTTCGTTGTAGCTGCTGACACAATGACTGCTGGATCTTGGGAACGATTTTCAAATTGTTGGGAGATGCAGCAACCACGATATCCTCGATATCTGAGCTTCGGCAGGGCTTGCAATACCCCTCCCTTTTGCTGCCCTCTGCTCTTTGCAGCAGTGGCTTCCTACGTTCGGGCGAGTGTGTGTGTGGTGCTGCGAAAGAACAAATATGTATGCACAAGGTCTTCGGGACGTGGGTGTCTACCCTCCCTCAGGTGACGCAAGACCACATTCGCATTGCCCAAAGAGGGACTGTGTGTCTTACAACCCTTGTATTTCCGCACAAAAACATCGCGCACGTTGTTATTCTACATTGGAGCCAGCTCGAGCGGACAATATTTATATTTTGGCAGCGAAAACTCAGACTTCCATGATGTCTTTGATTGATGATGGCAGATTTCCGATGAGAACCGAACTTGAAGCCGAAAGAACACCACAAATGGAACATGTTCAACACTGCGGCTGGATGCATGCCCTCAGACTTGTCTACACTTGGCCCGCTGCAAAGTGTAGTAAACGTAGGTACTGCTGTTGGACAAAGTGCGATGACACGAAGAGTCACAACCATGAATCATCGAATTAATCAATGGATGAACGAATGATAGTGGAGAAGCAAGCGGCAAATATTGCAAACCGTCGCATTTGATGGGTTTGATAGGTTTCAGAATTGGTTCGCCAGGCTTTGTCAACGCGGAACGCGTCCCCGGGGTTTTGAGCCAGTTTTCGCAACTTTGGCCGGCAACCACACGCGCCACGGAGGCCTACCGAGCTCCGGGGCACGGGCGTTAATGTACCGACGAGCCTCCTGCGTGCCCCTGAGAAGGAACCGCGACAAAAGATTCGCTGCCGCGAGGGAAAGAAACGCCGAAGCATGAAAAGTGACCAAATCTTATATGTACGTATGTATGCATGCATGTATGTATGTATGTATGTATGTATGTATGTATGTATGTATGTATGTATGTATGCGCACACACGTTCATGTACATACGTTGAGAGATTCATGATTTGGCATTGATTGCCCCATTCCCGAGACCTTGATATTACTCGCTGTCACTGACGTCTCTTCATTGGTCAGCCGATTAGCGCGGGTGCTAATAATCTAGACACACCTATGGACTTGCAAATACACGGCGCGAAGGGCTGCAGGCGGCAACTCCACGACTTGCCACTACACCAGAACGTGCAAATGATCAATCAATGGTCAGTCAGAACGCCTGAAGATTCAAAAGGGTAAACTTTCAACCTGAGTCTTGACAGCAGCGTGATCCACTGCCTGTAATTTTCAGTTGGTCGTGCTGCTATGCATGCTGCTGTTGTAGCCTGTAGTCTGGGGCTGAAAACCCTATAACACACAGCAACAAAGCTCTTACCCGACCCTCTCCCATGACAGAGAGAAGTTTATGTGTAAGAAATTAAGGAATAATAAAATGTTTGTGTCATGAATGAATACTACAGCAGTAAATCCAATGAGGGGGTACAAAACCGTCCTTTGAGAATGAACGAGATGAACGAATCCGTTCATGGTTCACACGGCGAGATTTCTTGCCGGTTTCCAGCCGCCGCCGGAACAAACACAACCAAATATCCTGTAGATACATATCTGCCCCTGGGGTGACACAGGCAGACAAGCATATTTGCTCTTCCAAAAAGAACTAGGGTACATA